TTGCCCTCAAATGTGTGCTCAGTGGCAGGTAAGAAGAGCAGCAGGGATGCTAGCTGACCTCTACTCCAAAACAGAAAATGCCAATAGAGAGGAGGACAAAAGTATACTTGTATTAACAGTGGAGTGTTGCTGATGTTTCTGCAGGGTTACTGAGGGTGTTGAACATTATCTGGATCTGCTGGCTGCTCTTCACTCAGAGGATCAACATGCAGTTAGAGTGAAAATAATAACAAACAAAATCACAATTCAATTCTCCTTAATGGGTTCAATGACATGTATTTGTTTGCCTCAGGTTGATGCTGAGGTTTCTGTCCTACCCAGGATGCCGGAGCTTTACCTGGAGGCTGGCACTGCCTTGCTCTTTACCCGGCGTCCTGCAGATTGTATGGCGTTCTGCAATGAAGTCATCAGCACGACACTGGAGCTGGTACCAGAGAAAGTGGTGTTGGAAGAGCCAGAGGAAGGAATTGGAGGAGACGCGAGGGGTCTGAGTGTGGAGGGTGAAGATAAAGTGGCGATGCTCCTCTGGGCTGCAGCTGCCTACCTCGTCCAGGGTCACTGCCACGCTCACTTGAAGGACTGGAAACAAGCTGTGACTCATTACACGAGGTGTGAGAGATGAAAGTAATTTTACTTGTTTCAGCGTAATTCAGTTATTAAAACAAAACAAAACACTGCATTCTGTATTACAGGTGCATCAACCTGCTGGTGAAGGTGCACTTAAAAAACAGAGGTGAATACCTTAATGAGTTTATAAATACTTGGGAGACTTTTGCCTTTTTTTCTGTCTTTCTGTTATTTTCTGTATTTTATGGTCGATTACAGATTTCCAACCACAGATCCCTGCTGCAGATGTGAATGTTAAGCATGGGAAAGATCTCTGCACCCTGCAAAGAATGAAGGGGCTTTCACTAGCATGGAGGGGTATCAGCTTCACCCAGATGGACCAGCTGAGAGAGGCGCTGAGGGACCTCCAGCTCAGCCTGCAGGCCTTCCCAGGTATACACGCCACAGCTGTAACTTAATCCTGTGAATAGCAGAAGTTGAAGCTATTTCTGACATTTGATATATCAGCAGTACTCTGTCATTGTAGCTAGCTGGTCATACAAAGAGAAAATAATATAAGTCATAGACTCCTAATCTTATACATCAGTGTATTTAATACTTTTTTTCTTATATGTAACATTTATCACATTGTTCTTCACTATTGGCCCACACTCAGTGACAAATAGGGGACACAAGACAGGTTGTATTGCTCATCATTGTTTTATTTACCATAAAGAAAACTAATAAACATGAGGTATGAGGAGTCAGAAGTATCAGTCATTACATGGATACACGGATGAGCATTACATGTATGTGCTGATGTTGGCATCGGTGTGAAAGAGGAAACAAAAACAAAATCTGGAGGTGTCATTCCTAGGAGCTCAGGCCTGCTTAAACCATGTGGAATATGCTACACATGTGTAAACCAGTTATCCCAATGACCCTCTCCACTACTGTCCTCTGCAGGAGGAAACCCTGCAGAGACAAAAAGGGGAGGGGCCATAACACTGTAGACCACAGGATTGTATTGAGTGTGGATTTGATTTACATGGTATTGTGCTATAACACGTTGTTGTGCTGTATGTGTTGTCTCAGATTATACAGGAGCTGGGCTGTGGTGCGGTGAGGTGCTATGGAGGCTTGGCAGGAAGCACGAGGCAGCAGCTTGCTGGGAAAAGACCTGGAGCCTCACGACTCAGACCTCAGTGGAGTAAGGCTTTCATTCTTGTATTGTTAAATGCCGTCGCTACATTTGAAGGTTATAATGTTAACTGCTGTACGTCATACTGTAGAAGATATTTGATCCTATGGTGACTGGAACTCCGGGACACAGTTGGGGAGCATGATAAGGTCAAGGTTAGAGGTCAAGTTTTCTGAATATCTTGTGAACACAACAGCTCGAAAAAGATGTCACCTAGATTTTTTGTTTTTTTTCTTAAAACTAGGTCATTGACGTTTTTATCCAGGAAGGATGTCATACTGGCCTCTCATACTGATATCTTAGCTGCATCTACTGACAGGCACTCACACCTTGGAATTTGGCAAGTTTTATACAATTCATGCATTTTTTATTTTTATTTTGCAGGTTTCTCAATACCACAGTATAATATGTAGCTATACCAGTGCCACTGTTTCAGTCTTTTGATAAAGTCACATTCAAAGCTTTTCCTCAATTTGCATTCAGTGAATTTTCATAATGTTAATAACCCTTCTGCTGTCAGATTGCTGTAACCACATAGATTTCCAGGCTAGGGCACAACTCGATAGCAGAATCATTTCAACATTAATTTCAATAGATGTGGACATCTTTTAACTCCTATTCACAGCAATATTTATAAAGCATTAGATGTGCTTTATATATCCCATAAGTTGGGAAATTCCTGAGTTACAACAGCCTTCAGTATTTCAAGAAAATCTGAATAATGCATTAAGGTAGAAATGATAAAGTTAAATAAAGATAAAGAGGAAAAAAAGGAACTCGGTAGGTAAAAATATAACTCGAAAGAAATTTAAATAGTACAAATGTAAAATGCTTATTATAACAATAATAACAATACAACATCACACAATTGCACCACACAATAATAAAATGGCTCAAAATCAATAAAATAAAATGAACCAGTAATGGTGTAAATGTAGTAAGTACATCAAATGTCAGACAGTGTAAAATATGGTGGACGGTTAGATCAGCTAGTCAGATGTATTGTGATCTGGAGATATTGGATGAGCTTTAAAGATTTCCTTTATCTGTGTTTATGGCGAGGACCTAAATTAGCCTGTTTGGAGAAGGTTTTCAGCTGCATGTCCTGTAAATTCTGCAGGGGTGGTCAGGATTATCCGTGGTGGATCACAGTTTGTTCAATAACCTTCTCTACAGCACAGTTTCAGATGTGTCCAAAATACTGCTGTGCCGTTTTTTTGTTGCTAGTATACACAAAAAATGTTACCAGGTAATATAAGGTCAAATGTGTATTAAAGAGTTAGCCTTAACATTGCCCATCGCTAGTCCTCTGTGGTTCAGTCAATTTCTCTCGCTATGTGCAAATGTTTTCCGGCTGTTTGTATATTCCTTCCACTCTCATGAAAGCAATTTCTCTCAAATGCCTTGAGGAGATTTCTTCAACTTAGACACAAACGTTTAGTTAGGGTCAAGGATGAGCTAAATAAATCAGGAATTTGTGCTGTAGCTACACGGTGCAGTTTCTCAATAAATTGCACAGGGATTGACACTCCTTCAGGTGTTGGTCTGTAGCTTATTGCTAAAAAAAGTTGGAGACAAATAAAGTGGCTTAGAAAGCTTAAAGATGAATTAAAATTAAGTGATTACATCTTATGGCTTAATAGAGCATGAATGAAACAGCAACTTCATTGTTGTTGGTTGACAGTCAGTCACAAGGTGACAATTTGTTTGTTCTCGCTCTTGTTGTTTTTTTGTTGGAAATTGCATGTAAATAAGAACAAGCACTCAAAAGGGATTTGAGATAATTTCTAATTACACACACAAAGTGGAGTTTGATTTAGCTGGATTGCCAAGCAGGAGTTTAACATACTTGGCCCGACCAGGATGTTATTCCAGTGGTTATCAGAGGTCAGCACTGTCACCTCACAAAATACAAGCTGACAGTTTGCAGGCTCTCTCTCTGGGTATTCTGGCTTCCTCCCACAGACACACATGTTATGTTAATTTGTGATGAAACTACGTGGAAGGTTGTCTGACCTGACCAGGGTCTTCCCTGCCTCTTTCCCTAGGATTGATAGTTTAATCACTTCTCTATATGCAGATACATTAGCTATGCAATGATGACTCTAATCTTTGTCTGTGTTGCAGAAAACTGCCTTTGTACCTACAGGATCCTCAGTCTGGCCCTTTGTTGGACTCTGTGGAGTTGCGCCTTAGAATACAGGAACTTGGCCTTACCTAATCAGACTGGAGACAAAAGAAGAATTTCTTGTGACTTAATGAGCTGGATCGATTTTGCTATGGGTTTCATTTCACACGCCATACAAACATGGACCTACAGGGACAATAAAATAAAGCTTACTGTAAGCATTTGAAACTAAGGATGGGCACAGTGTATGTGTATTGTATGCATGAAATGATGGAAGATTAGGGCATGCATTGTTTGGAGTTGCTGAACTGCCTTTAAGAAAGAAAAGTCTGGTGAGGTGATCTAGCCAATAAAGTTCTCTCTACATCAGCAAACCTTTAATATGCTGTACATGCACTGTCAGCTGAATTTTCAAAAACGGTTAAGCAAAAAAAACTACGAGCTACACTGCAGTTCCCCCTCCACACACCATACAGGGAAAAGTATCTGTCATGCCAGTTCCTCCAGTATAATACTCAGCTTAGTTACCATACCACACTCTAGCTGACAACGGTTCCATCAGCATCTCCATTAAGATAAACTGGACATTGATCATTACATGATGGACTGCCTTGATAAATGATGTATACCATATATCAGACTGTGTGATGGCTGGTGTTAAAAAAGTTTGGAATGAGGTGTTGTGGATGGGTTAGCCGACAATCCATTAAGGGAACATAATTTACTTAGGATGTCTTTGATCAAATTTCAAGCTACAAAAATGTATTGCTATCTAACATCTTGTCTCTTTTTTTTTAAATTGAATAAATGAAGTATATCCTGTTGTTTTTCTTGGAAAAAATGCATTATTTACCTTGAAAGTGTGTGTATACATGTGTTATCTGTCTTCCATAAATTTAATCTTACACATTTGCTGTTACCAACAGAAAGAGTCAATTTCATATTTTGGTGATTATTCTATATCAACGCGGTGAAAGTTAATTGGGTGGCTGAATTCAGTCGAAGGACCAATAAGAAGAAAAACCTTCGTCCAAAAGACTCGGTAACAACAAACTCCAATTTTTTGATTGGTTGATGGGTTTGACAGACAACCGCTAGCCAATCAGAATGAAGGATGCATCCAGTTCATGGTATAAGTGTAAAGAAAGCACGGAAACCGCTGCTCTTTCGCGTGAAATCACAGAGAAGGTTGAGCAGAGAACCGGTTAAGCTTCTTAAACATTTAGCTAGAATTTATTTATTAATTGTAATCCAGGTTGGACGACCATGGCTTCGGGAGGGGAGTGAGTATAATTATCATAGTGTATTCAGACAATGTTTATTTCGAAAAAAAGACCAACCAACAAATCCCTTTTAATTACCTAATGTAAGTTAAAATACGTTAGTTTATTAAAGTTAGCTGGAATGCTAATACATTGCTAACAGGGTAGCTAATGGGGTCAGTCACTTCATCCTCCGCACTTTTGTCCGTTGGTTAACGTAACAGTGTAGTTCTCACAATTGAACAATTCCCTATGATTGTTGACATTTGTCTAACTGTTGTCATTCAGGCCGTTGTCGTTGACCGGTTAACGGTGCTGAGCGTTAGCCAGCTGTGTGACAAAGCGCAGTCATCGCTGTCGTGTTTGAATGCTAACGTTAGCTTAGCAGCACTGGCAAGGCCACAGCCATCCACCATCACACATCATACCGACACAGTGGCCTACCCACCGGTGAATGGCCCGTTTTTAGATTGGTTATCAGATTTTCATTACAGCGAATATAAATGAGCTCAGTAAATGGCATAAACCCATGTTACCTGTTAAAGGCTTTAGTAAAGAAAACGCTAGGCAGCTAAATGGCTATCTTTAAAGCTATAGCTGCACAGTACAAACAAGCTAGCAGGCTAACGGTGTTGGACACTCATTTCAAATGCCTCTCAGTTTAGTTGGATTCTATTTGCCGTTAGCTGAACAGTAATGAAATAATACATGTAAGCAATATGTACCCCACGATTACGTTGGTAGCTAACGTCTGAAAACTCACGCTACATTTGTGGCATGAGTGCTTAGGGAGGACCTAGCTAACAAAGTTTTTCTAATTCTTTTGCTGTGTCATCTGGGCTCGCTTACTCGCCAGTGTGTTAGCGCAAAAGCTACGGTTAGCTAACAACATGAAAGAGAAACCATATAAACTGTCCCGGACTTTTACAGAATCATATTGGTGATATTATACCCATATGTTTTATTTTAATATTTTGAATGTACGAATGATGGCGTGAATTATCCGTATGTAGCACTGAATCACAATCGGCGAGTTGTGTAAACGACCTGTTTGCACTGAATACCTCAAAGTTGGTCATAAGTGCTTAATTACAAGAGTTAATGTAGAAACATGGGCATGGAATATCAAACGGGGGTTTCTGCCACATCCTGTAAATTACATTTATAATACTTATTTCTGTGGGTCATTATAAAAGTCTACAAACAATACACTGACGTACACAACTTAAGCATTTGCAGTAACAACACAAGGTACCAAAATTTTATTGTACAAGAACTCCCATTTGAGTACTAGACATGCCAGTGTGGTTTTTACAGTGTTGCACAAGCAACTTTTGAAGGAGTTCACATTATTGACTCCATTATTAAAGTTTCTTTCAAAACAGAGTAGAAAAAAGTGCTTTGCATTTCCCCAAAGACAAAGCCAGAAACTGTTACAAGTTTCACAGTGTGCACAGTAAGTTTTGAGCCAGTTTCGTCAACTTTATTAATGATGTTACTACACTTAAAATTGACTTGTTCTATGACATGGTAATGATAACATTTGACTGTTTTTATTTACTAGTTTTCCTTTTCTATTTATTGTAATGTATATAATATGCGTGGGCTTGAAAAAAAAAATTGCCAGGCAGAGCGTCGTTAACATTTCAATTGATTATCTCTGAAAAAAATCTAGATTTTGAGATGGTAACCTCAAATTTTGACTTGGTCAGCACTTTTTTTCCTTCAGTGGTGGAAACTACACATGAGACCTTAAAGGTACTGAAATATTGTGTTTGACCTTTTTATTTTGCGTTCCTCATAGATCCAAAAATGATGATCTTGCAACTGCAATTCTGAAACAGAAGAACAGACCCAACAGACTGATTGTTGATGAATCCATCAATGAAGACAACAGCGTGGTCTCCCTCTCTCAGGTAAATAGTTGGAATGGTTTATGGCTTTATTAACAAGTTCAAGACTTTGATTTGTCATGAAAGGTAGTAACACTGATATTCACAAAATAATGGTTTAATGTGTTTAAAGACCAAAATGGATGAGCTGCAGCTCTTCCGTGGAGACACAGTGCTGATGAAAGGAAAGAAGAGGCGCGAGACTGTGTGTATTGTGCTGTCTGATGACACCTGTTCTGATGAAAAAGTTCGCATGAACAGGGTGGTCCGCAACAATCTGAGGGTCCGCCTGGGTGACGTCATCAGGTATGTAAAAGCACACAACTTTATAAAAAAAATTTAACAACTTTTGAAAAATTTGTGTTTTTAAGGCTATTATCTCCCTCAGCATTCAGCCATGTCCTGATGTGAAGTACGGAAAGAGGATTCATGTTCTTCCAATAGATGACACAGTAGAAGGAATTACTGGCAACCTGTTTGAGGTCTACCTGAAGCCATATTTCTTGGAGGCTTACAGGCCAATCCGCAAAGGTGAGTACCAGTTTCTTTTGTCAGACCAGAGGTTTTATTTGCATATTTTATCTCTTTCAGGGTACACCAGCTTACCACTCTATTGAAACTGTATGTTTTCAACTTTTACCTTGTCAAGGTGACATTTTCCTGGTCAGAGGAGGAATGCGTGCTGTGGAGTTCAAGGTGGTAGAGACTGACCCATCCCCTTACTGCATCGTTGCTCCTGATACTGTCATTCACTGTGAGGGAGAGCCAATTCGGAGAGAGGTAGGTAGCAGCAACTCTGTGTGGTTTAACTTGTACCGAAAAGAAATGGAAAAAATCAACTGCACAAAAATGTGAACAGCTTGTGTTTGAACATGCAGGATGAGGAAGAGTCCCTGAATGAAGTGGGCTACGATGACATTGGAGGAGTAAGGAAGCAGTTGGCTCAGATCAAAGAGATGGTGGAACTGCCACTCAGGCACCCAGCCCTGTTTAAGGCCATAGGAGTCAAGGTGAGACTGCTGGGGCTATTTCTTTCTTTAATTTTTTTTAATTAACTTAAAAAAAATGTAAATTGAAAATCCGGTTTAGCTTTCTTCTAGAATTGTAAAGTAAGAATTTTAACTGTATTTTTGAAAAGAATGAGGCCAATTTTCCCACTCAGCTAAACAATTTATACAGCCTAGAGATCCTAATCTGTTCCAGTAAAAGTATACCTGTGCAGGAATGACCTGTGGAAAATACCTACTGGTAATGACACGGACTTTTAGAGTATTCTTCATCTGTGTGTATGTGTGTTGTTGTTTTTTTTTTTTTCCGGTTGGTTGGTTTAATTTTTGGTCCTTTTTTTGGGCTGCTGTGCTATGCTTATCATATCTAGTATGCATTTCTAGTATTTCATCAAAGTATAGTAAGAGTGCTTTCTATATTTTGTTTGAGTTTCAGTTTGTTTCATGTAATGGTTGACGAGAGGTTCAAAGTTCAAAGAGATTCAGTCTGCCGCCTTTATATCAGTCATAAAATACTTTCAATTTAAGAAAAAAAAAATCTTGTCTTAAATTTGATTTCATTCCTCACCCCCCTTATTTACAGCCACCGCGTGGAATTCTGCTTTACGGACCCCCTGGAACTGGAAAAACTTTGATTGCCAGAGCTGTGGCCAATGAAACGGGAGCTTTCTTCTTTCTGATTAATGGTGTGAACGTTAATTTATTTCTTCTATACCTACATAATCCTAGTTAGGACTGTTTGATGCTGGAGTGGATTTAGATAGGGTTTGCTGTTTTTGTTTTTTAATGTCTGTGATTGATTTAAATGAGTATTTATGAGAGTCCTATCAGTAGCTGATACTATGGGTGGGGTTGCTTTTCAAACTGTTTGCCCGTGTCTTAGGCCCTGAGATCATGAGTAAGCTGGCTGGAGAAAGTGAGAGTAATCTGAGAAAGGCCTTTGAGGAAGCTGAAAAGAATGCTCCTGCCATCATCTTTATCGATGAGCTTGATGCAATCGCTCCAAAGAGAGAAAAGGTAAGCAAGAACATGGAACTGAATAGGTGGCTAAATACACACACACACACACACACACACACACACACACACACACACACACACACACACAGTCAGTTTTATTATGTGACTCTTGTGAAATAAATGCAAAAGTTTATAGACCTTGGAAATGAAAACAAAATGTTTAGCAATTATTTATGTATTTATTGAAGTTTATTTTTTACTGTGTTAAAAATCTAGCAGCTGCGACCTGAACCAAAACTCTGTCGTATTGATGACTACCTGATTAGGTACTCTAATTCAGTCAGCACTCTAATTTCTACATGGGATTTAAAATGTCCTGTGTTTTTTTTTTTTTTTTTTTTTTTTTTTTTTTTTTTTTTTAAATAGACTCATGGAGAGGTGGAGAGGCGCATTGTTTCTCAGCTTCTGACTCTTATGGATGGCCTGAAACAGAGAGCTCATGTCATTGTCATGGCTGCCACCAACAGACCCAACAGCATTGATCCGGCTCTCAGGAGATTTGGTAAACTGTATTTAAAGCATGTCTTTAATTTACTTTATGGGCCAAAACCTAAAGAAACATCCACTTTGTGTGTGTCTGTTTGTCATAAAATGTTAAGTCAGCAACACACCAGCAATTTAATTTATAACATCTCACCATTTCACTACAAATTTGTGTGAAGAGTAATTTTAAACAATATTTAGGCTTAAATTTAAGACTTTAATCATTTATTTATGTATTTATTTTTGCATAATATTCAGCAGTGTCAGAATATGTTCGTTACAGCTTCTCTTCAGGCAAATTAAAATATAATTTTTCAAGTTAAATCATTACTTCAACAGATTCGTGCACATGAAGTTGTTAAGATTTTTAGATAACATGAAGAGTACTGTTTGAATGCCTCCTAAAACCTTGTCGTTGCAGTTTTAAAACTGCTGGTGTGTTGATTTTGTGGGGTCTGCAGTTTAATTGTGGGTCACTTTCTCACAACTCTGCACTTCAGTTTGTCAAAGCTGTCAGAAACATCCTAACAAAGGCTTTTCAAAGAGTTAGACATGGATGTTTTCTGAACATTCAAATATGAATGCTGTTAAATGGAATGATTTATGCTGGTCTTCATACTAAAATACTTCTGTAACATCAGCAGATAGTGTTGTACTTCTCTGTTAGCGAGGCGCTAAACATGGAGTGTAAATGTTTTATTTATTTATTTATGTTTAACAATGTTCAGTGAACTATGATGGGGGGGATGCATCAGCTGCAATATGTGCTCAACAGGAAGTTAAGATGGGTTGTTACTGTGCAAACACATCAGTCATGAATTCCCACACCATGTTTCCACATTCCTGAAACATGGTGTATGCACCAATGCAAAAAAACAATTTTTCTTGTTTGTATTTAAATAAACAGCTAGTTTTACTTTTGAGTTTACTCTTGGACTTTAATAATCTTATTCATGTTACGGTTTCTCATTAAAACTAATACTTGGGTTTAATCTTTGTCACTTTCAGGGCGTTTTGACAGGGAAGTTGACATTGGTATCCCTGATGCTACTGGAAGGTTGGAGATTCTCCAGATTCACACCAAGAACATGAAGCTGGCTGATGATGTTGACTTGGAACAGGTTTGTACACATAACTCCTTTCTTGTAATTGGTGTGGTTTAAAGATACAACACACGGATTCCTTGAATGATGGGTATAGCCATAATGGTTATTATTGCCTGAGACTAAGAAGTAAAATTGTACTACATGTTTTAATTAATTATATGTAACTATTGTTAATCTGCTGTTATACTATCTAACGAAGAGCTACTTTCACATTACTCAGTTCCCAAGCTAACCTTAGTGACTGTACTTGGCCTGGCATTCAGTGTATTATAATTGTTCCTTGTGACACAGTCATCCATTATCAAGTAGCTGAGTTGCATAAAGCTACAGATGTAGGTCTTTGTCACATGTAAGGCACATTGCTTGGAAACCTAGGGAAGAATTCCTAAGTGTTGAGCTCTCTGTTTCCAATTTTAGGTAGCCAATGAGACTCACGGGCATGTGGGTGCAGATCTGGCAGCTCTGTGCTCTGAGGCTGCTCTGCAGGCCATTAGGAAGAAGATGGACCTGATTGACCTGGAGGATGAGACCATTGATGCTGAAGTCATGAACTCTCTTGCTGTCACCATGGATGACTTCAAGGTAAGCAATCTGATACTCCTTCGTTAACTGGGGTTACTGTTACATACAGGGTTGCTGTCATGGTAGGGACAGTACTATGTATCTGAGTCTGGAGTTGGATTGATGCAAATTTCATTAGGGACTATGCCAGGTTCTGTGTTCAAGAAAGTGCATGTCTGATGTCTTCAGCAGTTCCGGCCTAAGATGGTATTCACATAGCCAGTAGTTGCCTTTTGGCGTCAATACTAACACGATCAACTCTGTTATCCAGTGGGCTCTGAGCCAGAGCAACCCATCAGCCCTGAGAGAGACTGTTGTTGAGGTTCCCAACATTACCTGGGAGGATATTGGTGGTCTGGATGATGTCAAGAGGGAGCTGCAGGAGTTGGTGCAGGTATGAGCCTCATTTAGAAATGTCTGAAACAACTGATACATTGTAAACTGAAGGCTTAGTGTTGTCTCTAACTGTTTCCCCCCTTACTTGTACTTAATTTAGTACCCAGTGGAGCACCCAGACAAGTTCCTCAAGTTTGGCATGACCCCATCCAAGGGTGTGCTATTCTATGGTCCCCCTGGATGTGGTAAGACTCTGTTGGCCAAAGCCATTGCCAACGAGTGCCAGGCAAACTTCATATCTATCAAAGGACCTGAGCTGCTCACCATGTGGTTTGGAGAGTCTGAGGCTAATGTCAGAGAGATCTTCGACAAGGTGAGACTTTGTAGGATGTCTGTCGTTGCATTTGGATGTCAGAGAATTTGAATGTTGTTAAATCAGAGTTGTCACATTTAACAGTTTGGTGCTGGATAGGACAGATTTCTTTGTATATTTGATGTGTGTGCTCATCTTCTACATGTAGGCTCGTCAAGCAGCCCCATGCGTTCTCTTCTTTGATGAGCTGGACTCCATAGCCAAGGCCCGTGGTGGCAACGTGGGAGATGGCGGTGGAGCCGCAGACCGTGTCATCAACCAGATCCTGACTGAGATGGATGGAATGTCAAGCAAGAAAAACGTCTTTATCATTGGAGCCACAAACAGACCAGACATCATCGACCCTGCCATCCTGAGACCTGGCCGTCTGGATCAGCTCATCTACATCCCCCTGCCTGACGAGAAGAGCAGGGTCAGCATTCTGAAGGCCAACCTCCGCAAGAGTCCCATCAGCAAGGTGACAAAGCTGCTACTTACTCACACAACTGACATACCCACTTAACTCTTGTGTTGTTTTTTTTTTTTTTTTCTTGGTGTAGTTACTGTAGCATAAAGTAGCATACAACAGTTGATGTTGAATTCCTGTAAAATGTTGTCATTTTGTTAAAAATTTAAAATTTGCTTCTAATTACTTCAGGATTGTTTATAAGAACAATGATAGATGTTAAGAAATGGTCTTACAAGCAATTTAGAACATTAATAGAAATGTCCCCTTTGAGGTTTCATCAGGAGTGGCATCTGGTGTAAAAACTGCCAAATGAAACCTCAGCAGAGATGCCCAATATGATGGCCCCCTTGTGACAAGGGGAGCAGCCAAAAGTAGCTAACAAAAAATGTGACTTACTAATTGTAACTGAATAGAAGTTAAAATTTGACATTGTCTCCGTTTGATAGGATGTGGACTTGGACTTCTTGGCTAAGATGACCAACGGCTTCTCTGGAGCTGATCTCACAGAGATCTGCCAGCGGGCGTGTAAACTGGCCATCAGGGAGAGCATTGAAAACGAGATCCGCAGAGAGAGGGAGAGGCAGACCAACCCATCAGCTATGGTCAGCACTTGTTTTATCTCCTTGTTCACTTTTTCATATCAGGATGAGCATCTTCAAACTATTGCAATGCTGCTGCCTCTGATCTCTCATGTATAAAATGTTGATTTCATAGGAGGTAGAAGAGGATGATCCTGTACCGGAGATCAGGAAGGACCACTTTGAAGAGGCAATGCGATTTGCTCGCCGCTCCGTCAGTGACAATGACATTCGCAAATACGAGATGTTCGCTCAGACACTGCAGCAGAGCCGTGGCTTTGGCAGCTTCAGGTACTTTCATTTCATACTAAATTTTGAAAGTCATGTAGTTTTAAGTTTTGCAGAAAAGAACCATTAATGTGGATTGCTATTCCTTCTAAGTTCTCATTGATTGTACTGTAATTAGAGCTGGGCGATAGAACAATATGTATTGCGAAATAACTTTTTCTCGATAGAAAAATGAAACTAGAGATTGTCGAAAGGAAAGGCCAGAGAAATTCCGTAGTGTGGAGGTATTTCGGCTATTTGAAGTCTGACCAAAAAACAGAGTAACACGCACTGTAAATTGCGCCAAAAGCATGTTCCCACAAAGTCTGGAAATACAACAAACCTTTTTTATCAACTGAAGCAGTGTCACCCACTAGAGCACGCTCAATCTTTGACTGAAAGCGCTAATTCGTCATCGAAAACAACCAGGGGAATCCCTGCGAAGCAGCAACAGTCAATTAAGTCGGCTTTCTCCAGCGTCTTACCATATGACAAAAAAGCTGAGAGACATAGCAACATAACGAATGCCACAGCTTACTGTCTTGCTAAAGACATGCTACCAATAAACACGGTCGAAAATGAAGGATTCAAGCAGCTAATTAAGGTAATGGATCCTTGTTACCAACTCCGTTGACATAAACATTTATCTCAGACAGCGCTTCCAAAGCAATATTATATAAGTTAGTCAATTTTGTCTCTTCTTCTGTAAAATAAACTAAGATTTATTTTTAGAATTAATATTTTGTTTCTAAGTGACAATTTAGTAGTCTGTTTTGTTTGTTCTATTTTGAAACTTAAATGCTTTAGTGGCTCATATCATGATATGAAAAAATCTTATATCGCCCAGCTCTAACTGTAATATGACTATTTTGAATAGAGTAGATTCTTTAATACACTCAAAAGCTGAAACCAGCTGTGTATTTAAAGGATATCTGGAGAAGTTTCCTCTGAATGTAAGAATAAAGAATAAATAAAAATGTTTCCTTTCAGGTTTCCCTCCAGTGCTGCAGGCGGCAGTGGTCCAAGCCATGGCTCTGGTGGAACTGGCACCGGTCCAGTGTTCAATGAAGATAATGATGATGACCTGTATGGATAAACATACACTGCCCCACAGTGGTCAGTACTGGGATCACACCTGTACAAATCTCACCAGATTCCACATTTTTAGGACTTTGTGCTTCTTTCATGTGTTCCTTTTTTTTCTTTTGTATGGTTTGTTTTTTTTCCCCTCTTTTTTTCTTTTTTCTTTTTTTTCCCCCCTTGGAGAAAGCATGTAGCTGCTTGGTTTGCCCTGGCTTTGATGTGGGTGGGGTAAGGGGATGTTGGAATTGGAAGGTGGAAAAACTGACTGTGGATTTCTTTTTCCTGGGGTGGGGGGTGATGTTTGAGTGGCCTCATTCTCAGTATATCACAACCAACATGAATGACTATAGTGATGGAATTCTATGCTAGAAAGAAAAGAGAAAAAAAAACACAAACATATTGCTAATGACTTCCTTTTTTTGTTTTGTTTTTTTAAATAAACAGTAGCATATAATGTATTACAAATTTGTCAAGGTTATGTTGTTGGAAAATAAAATCTCACGAAACAGAACTGTTGTCAGTTTCTATTAAGCTTTTTTATTGCTTGTATATTAGGCATTACAAAATTAAATTAAACAGATACTTGATTCATCAGAGTGAGGTTAAATCATCTGCATTTATGGTACCTGGTATTATTTGCCATTTATCTGCCTGTTTGACAGAGATGTAAATCTTGCAGAAAGACGGCATGTAACAAAGTTTTTGTTTGGTTCCCCCCCCTACTTCTTCTACCAGACACTAAAACTCTTTACAGGGCAGTTTGTAGTTGATGAGATCTGTCTGTTCTCTGCTGCCAGCAGAGTGAAAGTATAAAGACGTGATCAGTAGTGCTGTCACTGGGCTAAGATACTGTTCAGTTTCTGTCCACACAGTGTCACTGTAACTGTGAGAGAAACACTGCTGCTTGGATTTTTTTTTTCTTTTTTTTTTCTTTTTTTTCTTCCCCCATACTGAAAATGTAACGGGGGTGAAAATTGATCAAAATTACTGAACTAAAATTGCTATGAAATTAGTCATAGTGACAACTCTTCTTAAAAAGTATACATCGACTTTGCTGGAGACTCAGTAAGCATCATGGAAGGGGAAATGAGGATGTTCAGCATCTCTCCACACTCTCTCTCTGTAGAAACAAATGCAAATTGTAGTTAATGGTTTATTTTAATAATTTGCCTATTAATGTACTACCATACCCAACTAACTCCAAACACTTCTGAGAAACTGTTTAAAATCCAAGACCTACTGAAATCACCAGCTGTGAGCCTTCTCCAGAGGGAGACTACAATAGTTCATGCTTTGGTATATAAACATCTAAATATTTAGGCTCTGGGGGAAGAAGCAGTTCAGAATTGTTTTTAGGTGCCAAGGAGACTTGGTGACTTACCTCGACTGTTGGAGCGATGAAACGCTTGTTGTGATAGAAGGATTCAATGCTCTTCGTGTCCTCTTCTGACAAGGAAAAGTCAAACACGTTCAAGTTCTGCTGGATTCTGGAAGGCGTCACGCTTTTGGGAATACACACAACACCCCTCTGAATGTGCCACCTGCAAATGAGTCATTAAGTCATGTGATTAGTCAAATAAATGGAGGAAACTGTTAAAGGGATTAGTGGTGATTGTATTACTTTGAGTTTTCCTGCCTTACCGGAGTATAACCTGGGCCGGTGTCTTCTTGTATCTTTGGGCTATGGCTCCCAGTCGAGGATCTGCTAGCAGACTTGGTTCATTAGCGGAGGCCCAGGGTCTGTCTCCACTGCCCAGAGGACTGTAAGCTGTCACACAAACTCCCACTGAGCTGAGATGGAGGTGTGAAACCTGTTACTTTGACATATTAATCTCAGAAAGGATGACTGCCAGTTTGAATGTTAAACAATCATTAAACTGACCGACAGTGTGAGAGGAGATCTGCTTGAGACAAATATGGATGGCATTCAACCTGTAACACAGACACACAATTATTAGTTACAGTTTACTGACTTGTTTGAACAGAGCTGAAAAAATGTAGCTGCACCTGGTTTACTATAGGTTTGTGTCTGGCCATGCTTATGATGTCATCAGTCTGCCTGGCATTGAAGTTGGACAGACCTATAGCCTTGACTAGCCCTCTATCTACAAGGCTCTCCATGGCAGTCCAAGTATCCCTGTAGTGTGTGTCAGAGTAACAAATGCTTCCATCTTCCTTTCGAGGCATCAGTTCCTTCCCCCTCCTGAAACGCCCACACAGAATAGCTGCTTCAGGTAAAGTGACAATTCAATCTCTGCTCAGTTACAGCCAGATGGAGACGTATTAACATTACTGAGTGTGTGTAGTCACTCACTGAAATGCAATGGGCCAGTGCATGAGGTAAAGGTCCAGGTAGGAGAGACCCAGATCTGCTAAACTGGTCCTGCATGCCTCTTCAACATCCTGGGGGTCGTGTTTGGTGTTCCACAGTTTGGAAGTCACACAAACACTTCTTCACGCTGCAGAGCCTGGAGCGGAAAGTATGACACGGATACAAACCAATGACTGCTCTGAATACAGGGAAACACTTGAATAGGGCACAATACAGACATTGACAAGTTTGAGCCTGATGGTAGTGAACTGCAGACTTGAACCTATGTTAAAACCAATCTTCATCTACATGTTTTGGCTTACAGACCAAATATTAACCACTTCTTCAAAACCATTTGCTGACACAGTGATTTGTATACACTCTTTGGACTCTTCTTTAAAGAAACATTATGTTATTTGGGTTTCTGAAATTTATTTGAAAAAAACAAAAACAAACCAACAACAAAAAACCCACGAGAGAAGTATAGATGAAAAAACATCTTGGCAGAGCTTCCTAACCTCAGAAATATAACTAAAACTGTCATACATCTCTAACCCTGCAGTGGCCCTCAGGTTTAATGAACAACAGCAACAATCAACAGAAAAACACTTCACAGGTAAGATAAGGAGCAGATATCTTGTTTGTTTATGTGACTAAACTGAAAATATTTATCCGTTTTTTAGCTGAATGTCAGTAGATTTATCAGTTAACACTGTAAAGCCTGAAACATGAAATAACTGCCAGGAAATTCTATTTAATTGTAAAATAAATAAATAAATAAATAAATAATAATAATAAATTTGCTCACAGTAGCACTGCATGTGTCTGATAGGCTACCCTATTACATGGTCCAGCAGATAGCTCCTACAATTCTTAATATCATTCTAAAGCTCACTTTTAAAGCTCTGAGTCAAGAAAGCATGTGGACTGCTTTGAAAAGTTCGGCTAAATATTTATAGTTTTTACTTTTGTATGTATTTTTATGGCACGTGTCCACACCAGCCTACTGATGTGGCTGACGTGAACAGAATAAAGGCACCTGGAGCTGATTAAAAGACCACCAAAGCTCACCTTTCCTGGACCCACCCAGAGAGCCAGAGCCTCTCCAACCTCCTTTTCATTCTCATAAGCAGCAGCACAATCAAAGTGCCTGTATCCACACTCTAAAGCTGTATGCACCGCCTGCTTCACCTGAGAACACGCAGAGACAGACGTAAGCTTTAAAATTCCACCATGTCCAAAAACATTTGTTGGACCTGCTAACTCTGTGTGAGTGTTTATGTCCCTGCCTGTCCCGAGGTACTTTTCCATGTGCCGAGTCCAATCACGGGCATCCTCTGCCGTGTCGAGAGAGTCACAAAGGTGTTCATGCTCCAACTCTGAGAACCTGGCGGAGAAAAGACAAAGAGAAGTGTGTGAGGTCTTCACTCGCGAGCTTATATGAGGCTTAGTTGTCTGGTCATCATGACCAAGTCCTAACACTGAGTTACTGATTAAAACACATATCGTTAGCTTCATAGCATAAGTGCCTAAGTCATTTTTTGGTCAAATTGAGATTTTTGCCTAACTTTACTCCCCTACCACTGCTGCATCATCCTGTCCGTCTGCCTATGTCATCACAAAAAAATGACTTAGGCACTTATGCTATGAAGCTAACGATATGAGTTCATTAACTCTGCACTACAGCTGGGGTCATGTGTATGAATCATATACTCTACATATGCAAATTCCTATAACAAGCAATCGTCTTGCTTGCTGACCCACTTTTCTGTTATTAGCTGTTCTTTTGCCATTTGAGCTTAAAACTGTGTTTCGGTGAAAATATAAACTCTTTGTGAACTCAGCCCAAGAAATGGCTGATGCGGCTAGATGCCATTCGTCACAGTGCAGAGTTACTGGAGCACATCTCAGGCAGCCTTTCCATGGTTCACTAATTGCCTGTTTTATCCTCAACATGTGGGGCGCACACACAGACTTTGCTCATCAGGCACTGCAGTTGTTTCACGTGATCTCCCAGCACAGATCACCTTCCCTTTGCTCTGCCCAGGGTGCAGGAGAAAACATTTAAACCAGTAACCATCAAACACAACCAGCATTTGAATAAAAAGTCTTTCTTCTCGTACCTGGAATTGCTTCAGAAGATGAACCAGCGATCAGTTGAAGGTTGAGTCCATCAGAATTTTAGCACGCTGAGGTCAGTCTGTCTTCATATGTTTATCTGTAACTACGGCTGATGGAAAATGTCCAAATTCCACCATGCACACTGTTAAACATTCATGACCAGGGTCACAAGGCAGATTTATTTGTTTAGAGGTGCTGGTGGCTGCTCAATTTTTACTTCCATATTACTTTCAGAATTTGGAGTCTTATTCCAGTTTTGATCTTGCTAACCTTAAATGCCCAATCAAATCAATAATCTATCCATCTATCTACGTCTGAGAAGATGAATGCAGCAGGGAAGATGAAAAAATAGTTTTGATACAGAGATTTGTTTACATTCTTTTGACTATTTTCTCTAAAGAAATGTCGGATAATTTAGTCTTCAAACATGAAGTTAAACAAAACCATGACTGAAGATTACACGAACAAATCTTGATGGATCTTGTTAACCTTACAACTGTAATAAAAACTGTCAGATAAATGAATTACAGTGGCCTTCATGCGCAAAGCAAAAATACAAATACACAAAACCCAACAATTTTAACTTTACAAGCAAGGTAAGGACAGGCAGGTGTCACGGTGGTAAAGTGGTTAACAAGACAGTTACTGGTTCATGTTGGATGGCTGGGGCCTTTCTGTGTGGAGCTTGCATGTTTTCCCTGTGCCTGCATGGTACTCCTGAGGGTCCGAACAACATTCGTCAAACTTAAGTAACGATTCTAAATTGGTCATACCCGTGAATGTCTTTCTATGCTGTCCACTCTTGCCTCTGTACGCAACCACAGAAGATTTCAGATCAAACAGAACTCGAACAGTGTGACTGAAGTGCAAATTTTTAGCTTTAACTCAAAGCATTTTACAAAAGTATTGCATTAACTTTTTAGAAATTACAGCCATTTATAGTCTCCCATTTTCCAATACTTAAAAATTATCGTCTGACACGCAGTTTCATGGCCAGGTGAGATCTGTTCCTTTGTTATTTAATGATAAATGGCGCAGATAGAAGATATGGAGTTGGAATGGACTCCAAGTGATGAACTTGCTTGAGGTACCACAGGAGACAAATATGGTGCTCAAAGACAGAATTATGTGCATGGTTAAGAGAAACAACATCTAACAAAGTCAAGAACACTCTCTGGTAGGCCTATTCTTCAAACGTCTACATTTGATTATGAAAATAAATACAGAAGGTCTACAACACAGTGAAAACTACTCGTATTTGGTTTTTCAGTCTTATGGCATCCTCCTTCATTTCCATCAATATATCCTTGGATCTCATATTACGGTTTATCCTGGAATAATGAGAAAACAGGCCTCAGTTGGACATGAAACTGGTTGTCAGCCAATGGTCATAATTGTTAAGCAGTGAATGGAGGTGTTTTGTAAAACCCCTTTAATGAAATCAGAGAATCTGCACTTCAAACATCTTTATGCCTGGTTTAAACTCCACTGTGGTGGTGTAAAAGAGGCAAAATTAACAGGTTAAGGTATGTTTGTTGTTGCTGTTGTGCGCTGAGAAGGGTTTTAATCTTATATAATGTTGCATGTTGGTCTTTTCTCCTCCCCCCTCCTTCAGGTTTTCTTCTTTCCCACTGTTGCCAAGTGCTTGCTCATAGGAGTTCTGAGATTATCAGTTTTTCTTAGACTGTAAAGCACTTTGAGGTGAATGTTATTAAGAACTGGTACTTGTTCTCAAGCAGCAATAAATGAAAATGAAGCAAACTTCACACATTTGGTTTATTTGTTTTCATTTTGAAAAATTCATAGATATTGGCATATGCACAATAAGCAGTGTAAGTGAGTCTTTGATTAGCAGCAGCAGCACTTGTTAAGCCTGGTTGTTGCCACAGGACCATCACACAAGTCATTCAAGTCTCTCCCCAAAGAGAAAAAACCCCCCATCATCTTATAGTTTTGTCTTTCACAATATAAAAGAGAATTTATCAAACATGAAGCATTCAAATATTTTCCTGTACACCTCATTTATACGACCTACTAGGACTGTCAGCATAACCCACACATATTCTCACCACTGCTGCAAATTACAGCGAGGAAGAGCTCAAGGGCGTCCCCTGCAGCTGAGACAGAGAACAGTTTTTCTATTTGCACTACGTACAGTTTGTAACATTTGATGTACAGCTGTTAGGGAACAGAGGCATTTATCACATCGGAAACTGAGGACTCCATGTAACCAAAAAAGTAGACAACAATGCGGTCTACTTTTTGGCATTGCTCACAGTAGCACCGAGACATGGCCTTCAAATGCCACAAGAGAAAGCAGAATATCCCACAACAAAGCTGGCTTTCCCACAGGAATCGGTCTAACGTCACGCTTGCATTCCTCTGGGAAATCCAGCAATTACTTGTATGGCACTTTACAAAGACGAATTGGCAAAAATCATCAGTCTTGTATCAAATCACTTCCTATAAATGATCCTTCTTACATACAGTACAGTAAGGTGAATTACTTTACATAGCTTGCTTACCGTTTTTTTAATTCATTTTTTATAAAATTACCAGGTCCTGGTGGTAACGCCTAACACAGCATAGGGCATCATGTGTTGTGTTCATGGCTATTTGTCTTTATTATAGTGTGACCTGTATGTGTGTTCACATATGTGGTGTGACACCGGGCTAAGGCACCTAAATGTCCCTCAGATATTGAGCCAGGCTATTCAGTTCACAGCTCAGAAGGGAAAGCACCGATATTATGTGCAGATATCTAAACTTACACTGCTGTTACAGTTACGTGATTGTCATTCCCAGATTCTTCCATTGCAGCTAAACTATGCTAATATTATTGGAGTAATGCAAGAGTTTTTAGAGCTCTGTGGCACTGCACGTCTAGGGATATTTTAGGGGAGACAGATCATACTAATGGCCTACAGATTTTCAAGCATAATTCTTTATTAGATTGAAAGCATGGGGGAGAAAAAAGAAGAAAAACTCTGGCATGTGCCAAAGGAAAGGCTATGCTAAAAACCACTGAAGCTGCTGGTACACTTAATGTAAACATTAAGCAATCCTTTTTTGACATGTTTGGAAAACAAAATCCTGTTCTTGTTATAAAATATTTCACGCTTTATCCTATCACAAAAAGACGAGGATCAGAGTCGGACGGCATATAAAACCACTGATAAATCCGTATAAAACAGTTAAGAAAAGAGGTTCCCTTAAAAACCAGAATCGTGCTGAGCCCATCCTCAGCACCGCTCTGCTGCTCAGGGTGCTTGTGTGTGTGTGTATTTGTGGGTCTGTGTGTGTGTCTGTGTGCGCGCACGTTTGGGCTGAAAGACAAAATAAATATGAGTACTTTACATCCTGATACTGCCATTCTTCCTTTTGTGAAGTCCCTAAATTATCACAGCACATGTTCAAAGCTGTATTCATTCACAGGGACATGAGGATAACTACAAACAAAGAAGGAGTAGATGAAGGAGTGTAGTTTTTTTCCTCAGGTTTAGTCTGGAGTTTGTGGTGGAGGAGTTAGAGATGTGTCTTTCTAGGACTGGGGGAGGTGTTGTCTGATAATTTCTCTGGACTGAGGGGGGATCCTGTCGGGAAAACGGACCGAAAACTCCACGATGAGGTCACCACGCTGTGAGGGGTTCTTTGGAAAAGGCAGGCCTTCGCCTCTGAGTCGTTTCACCGTCCCTGGCTTGATGATGTCGTGACAAGGGAGGGAGATAACGCGGTTTTCCAGCGTGGGAATGCTAACTGTGCAGCCACACAACGCCTGGAGAAGAGAGGAGATTGAAAGGGTTAATATCATTAATAGGAATAAAATGCCAAATCCATGAATATCTCGGTGATGTAATGTTTCGTTAAAGTCTGCAGTCTTCATATCTTCCCCCAGTACGCTATCGGGAGGCAGTATTTGTTGTGCTTTCGGTGTGGTGTGTGTAAAAGTATGTGAAGAAAAGAAATTGTACTGACAGCACTGCGGGGGTCGAAAGAGCAGTATTTGGAACAGGAACATTTAGGAAAACATGACTTGGCAGTGGGAAAGTTTTCTAGTCTTTGTGTGCGAGTGTGTGTGCATGTGTGTTAGGGAGTGTGTGTAAGTGTGTCAGCGTTGCAGGGCCCCACATTGCACAGGGGACTAATTTTAGCAACGGTCTCATAGCTGGGACTAATGAAGTGAGGCAGGAATCGGCTGAGCTCGTAAATAGTTGGAGGGCCTGTCAGATCCCCACATGCACACAAACAC